TGGCTGCTGCCTGCATTTTAATTTTTGTATTATAATGGCAATTTGTTTTTAATTTGTTTAACTATTGTTTGCTGCCCAGAGTCACTTGTTGAGATGGGTGGCCATACAAATTGAATGAATGAATAAATGAATAAATAAATAATGTCCTTGTCCTCTCAAGTAGTATCAAGTGAACAGGCAGTAGCAACCAGAAAATGGGTAACAGCAACAAGACAGGCAGAAGGCTGTGGGACTTTGCTGACAACCTACAGCTGTAGCTAATATGTTTTGTTGTTTCAGATTCTGTTTTTCTGATGCTTTGCACTAGATGTTTTTCTTAAATGGAAATTATTTTTGTATGTATCCAGCTGAGCATTTTGTGTATTTTGCTCTGAATCCAACTTTTTGATTTCCTTCAAGTGCTAATTCTTGCCAGTTTAGGTTTAGAATACAGTTTCATATTCTGTTAAATCTAAACTCTGGTTTGTTTTGTTCAATTGTATTATATAACATACTGAACATCAGAAAAAATGTTGCTTCCACTTGAAGGAATAGTAAGAATAACCCTAATTGGAGGAGTCAAGGTTTAGTCAAAAGCCTTGATCCATAAAAAAATGGACCTTAGTGGAACATATGCCAAGTAAGTGTACATCATATTGGATCCATACACTCCAATCTGTGTTTACTAGGAAATAAGCTCCTCCTTATTGGGGCTATCACTTCTGAGCCACAAAGAGATACAGAAAATCCTACCTAACTCTTTGCTGCTCTTTGGCCATTTATTTGTCATCTGCAGCCTAGAACTGGAGGTTCACTTTTAAGAGAGCTTACTCTTAATTAATTATAGCAGTAAAATGTTTAACATGCTGAAATCAAAGAGTTTTAAGAAAATATCAATGGTACAATTGATTTAACAGTTCAGCTAACTATTAGTGGAAATACTAAGAATAATTTTAGCTGTCCTTAGCTATTTTTAATTATTTATATTTTATTTTGGGAAGTTAATTGCTGTGAGCGCCCTATGGACAGAAAGCCAGACTATAAATAGACTAATAATAATTCATAACTTGTCCCATTATTTTCTTTCACATTTAAGAAAATGAATTCTCTCTGGATTGCAGTTAATCCCTTCTGTTAGCCAACAATTAACTCTTATCTAGAAATATTCATGGAGTAACATGAGATTTCTAGTGCAAATTGTCCCTCTCTTTATGCATGCAAAGGATCTACTTCTAAAAAAATCATACAGGTAGTCCTTGTTTACCAACTGCCTCGTTTAGCAACCATTCATAGTTACAGTGGTGATGAAAAAGTAACTTTGCCACCATTCCTCACA